AAGTGGCCCCCAGAAGATCTGGAAGACCTTCTGGAAGATGCAGCTCAGAAGCTGAAAAAGTCTCCCTCTTCCCTAGAATTGTGGGATGTATCCACCGGGAGCAGTCAGATACAACATTCCTTGTTTTTCTAGAGTGGACATGCAAGAGGATGTTGGTCCAGCCAGTCGAAACTTCCTGTTTCCTCCTGGGCTGGAGCATCCTTCCTTGCATGTGACTAGAGGTGGGCGTGACCTTACCTGTCCAGGTAACAAAAGGACAAGGCATGCTGCCACTTTCTCTCTTTTTGACTTCCTTCTTCGTTGGACCAGATTTTTAGCTAGGGACTTGTAGCTTCCAGCTAGCATAAGCACTGGATTATTCCCCTGTATGGGGTAGTTCCACATTCAGGAATCCAACTGTGAACTGATGCGAGTAAACTTCTTTTATTGACTTTGAATAAGATTGTCATGTCTTTATTCTTTTAAGGGGGATTAAAGGGAATTTACCAGGAACTATACAATTCAATCTGAGACAGACTGAATTGTATAATAGTGAGAGGCTTATACAAGCCTGCAACCAGCAATCTGCTATGTGTGCAAAGGGGAATGTAAACTCTGCTAAGTAAAGGAACTTGCTAATGCAAGTTAGGAAGATGACGGAGCCAGCCGTCACAAATGGCGCAGTTTAGCATAAAATAAAGACACAGCCAGCAATATTTTCAGGATGGTATGAGCAGCTCCTTTCGAACTTCTCTTCTCTCCGGTCTCTTTTATTATCCTTTGTTCTCTCCTCTCGCATGGCCGCTTGCCAATGTCTCACATTACCTACATCCGGTCATGGCTTAAACCCACCCATCGCCATATAGGGTTATGCACTTAATACACTGCAAGGCACGGACATGCAGGTCACCGAGGTCAGCGAGGCACCAGGTGGCGCTACAAGCCTTTGCCATGACTTCATGGCTCCCACATGAAGAATATTAATAAACAATATATCCTCTCCTGCCACCCTGAACATTCCTACAAGAATTTAAGGCTAAGTAAGAGTTTCCCTGAAAATAAATTTCTGATGAGTTTGTGGACATTTTATCTTTCAAGGTCTGTTTGAAGAATGGGAGATTTTTCAGCCCTCTCCTGAAATCTGTCTGAAGCAGCCCACTTCCGTTCTGGATTCAGAACTCCTCTGAATCCAATGCACACCCCTAATGCAGACATTTTGTCTGTTCCTCGTTTATTTCCATAAAGGGGGCAGCTCTCGGTGTACCAAACAATACAAAATGTGCTCCCCTTCATTAGAGTGAACTGAAAACTCAATGTATGCCTCATAGGACTAATCTATACTGGTGAGTTATAACGTTATAAATGCGTTATGAAATGTGACACCAGGAGGCGCAATGGAAATTAGCATTGAGAGCTATATAACGTTTTTCCCCCTTGGTGTTTCAGTATAAATTCACCCATAGTTCCACATTTGAAGGGCTTGCCAGTTCTGGTCATTCCTCTTCGCGAAACAGCCACCCATGATCCCAGTGGCTGTTGTTGATCAGGTAGGATGGAAGTCAGGGAGGCCAACAGTAGGTGGTGCCAGAGCGATTGTCAGGCAGAGACAATTATTTCAGTGGTGTCCCCCATCCACCACCTGCAACACTGAGACTAAGGAGGAGGAGGAAGCAGCGCCACCACCTGGACTGGTTGTAAGTAAGAGGCAGGCAGGTGAGGGCAGATGGGTTGGTGAGGCAGTGCCCTATTTGCCCTAATGGGGCAGCCTACACTGCATGATCCTCATTCAAACAGCTACTCTTAATCCTCATTCAAATCTCAGAAGAGAACCAGGGTATGTATTCCCACTAAGATCTGAGTTCTTACAAGCAGCTGCAACAGAGTGATTTAGGATGGGCTAAGTATTGCAATTACCTGGGGGTTGCTTTGAATACTACTTGTATTTTTTTTTTTTATGGTCTCCAGCTTCTCCTGATTACCAGAGGTAATAGACTTTTATGCTACGATGCAACTGTTGAACATTTTAATTGGAATGCCATGTCAAATTTTTAAATTAAAAATCAAATACTCAAAGCACCAGTGCATTTTTGATTACTGAGATTAAAACCTAATTGAATTCTCTCTCACAAGCAAAAAGGAAAAGGGGAAGAAAAAAAAGTCGGCTGGAAATTTAATTAGAGCAGTGTAAAAAGCAGTTGATTTTCTTAAGCAAAAGAAAATACATATATATTTTTATTTTTTATTTTTCTTAAAACGAAATGCAAGATGGCAGCCTTTCCGTTTTCTGCACACCCGCTCCCAAATTCTGCTATGGAGATATCACAAATATGGTACGGAATGAAGGCCTACTTAGATCTCACTTTCCAAATGATTGCATAATAAAAGACCTAGGTTTTGCTTGAGTGAAGACTGCTTTGCCCTTTGATCAATACTGAATTATTCATGGTGGATTCCTGGCAAACCTCCATGAACTTACACATGTCAGAGAGCGAGAACAAAAACAACAGACACATCTGCACACAAAAAAAGAAGAAGAGCCCCGAAGAAGTTTTATTTGATAAGTCAGAAACACATTTCAATCAATACCAGTGGAAATGCCATTGCCAATATTATCCTAATATTTGGATAAGTTCTACACCAGCAGCCCACAGAAGGGTAAGTGGCAGTAGATCAGCAAGGATTTCTGGCTCCCAATTGTTCAAGAATAGCAATGGCTAACAGGCTTTTTGTTTCCTGCATTAAGGACAAGAAACTAATAACGCTGGTGGGGGGGGGGGGAATCAGATGCTGATAGTGAAGAGACTGCTCTGATCAGTTCTGGTGCTGAAAGCACATCTTTGGGTTGAGCATGTGCTCAGAGGCAATCTAATTCTAAGCACACAAGTTGGATTTGCAGCAAAATGTTGCAGTGCTGGGTGCTTCTGTTCAGAGTTCCAGCCAGCCGTGCACCATTTCCAGGATACTCCATTCCACCATACCTGTCAGGCTTCAGGGACTTGGCTTCCTCCCCCGCCCCCACTTTGGCTGTAGAGAAGCAAGACAAAGTGCAAAGAGTCGCTTACCATTTATAGAGTCTTTAATGATCACAGCAAAAGAGCAAAGCAAACATTCTCGGAATGAAGGCGCTCCCAATTAAGGTTTCCACCCACTCCCCCCCGTCACTTCCGCACCTTGCAGCCTGGTCTCGCGACCACCGTGCTTTTTGTGTAGCCACCTTATCTGCTCTACGTGACCTTGGACTGATAGGCTGGACACTTTCTAGCAAGTGAGCCAGTGTGGTGTAGTGGTTAAGAGCGGTAGTCTCGTAATCTGATGAACTGGGTTCGCGTCTCTGCTCCTCCACATGCAGCTGCTGGGTGACCTTGGGCTAGTCACATTTCTCTGAAGTCTCTCAGCCCCACTCACCTCACAGAGTGTTTGTTGTGGGGGAGGAAGGGAAAGGAGAATGATAGCCGCTTTGAGACTCCTTCGGGTAGTGATAAAGCGGGATATCACATCCAAACTCTTCTTCTTCTTCTCTTCCAGTTCTTCTTCACCTTGCTGTTCACCCCTCAGTTATTCCCAACTTCTGTCTTCCGAACTATGCCCCTCTGCAAACCACTGTTCCAAATCTATACTGCTCCACTGCTCCTGGGCAACTTCAGGATCCTGGTCAGGGGGAGGGGGGAAGGCTCCACCATTCCTCATCAGAGCAGTACTCCTCAGCCTGGTCTCTGACAATGGCCTTGCGATTTCATTATACACCTGTCCAGCCTGGTGTTTTAGTGCAAGTGTACTCTGCAACATGCTCCTGACACAAGAATAAGTGTTCCACTTTATTAATGGTTCTGTGATGCTTTTAGGGGACTGAGAACAATGTACCCTCTGCCCAACGAATCCAATGCACGGGGCCCATTTTGCAGAGTTGTACAACTGATTTTCTGGATAAAATCCAGAAATAAACATACTTTCTGGGCTATTGCATGGACCCAGGGATGTGGGTCAGGTATGGAGGGTGGATCAGAAGTGTTATTCTTGCTCCTTTCCACATGTGTGGGCTAGATTGGGGGCAGATATTGTCTGATCCAGACCAATTGTCAGGCAGCAGAGGAACCAACCCTCATGGCAGGTTGCCAGGAATGGACAAGACAAGGGAAAAGTCCTTACCGTCGGCTATTATTCAATATTCACAGAGAGAGGCTTGGAAACATGGCCTCTCGGAATAATGACGTTGCTCCGAGTGAGTCTCCACCCCTGCTTCATTATCATCACTACTGGTGCTGAGCAGTGTCCTCTGCCTCTGAGCTCTCTGCTCTCCTACTTTCAAGGCTCGCCGGGTTCTGGGAAAGGGGTGGGTGGGTCTGGAATGCTTTCTCTAAAGACACTGTGTCCATCTGCTGTCTCCCCTCTGGTGCTTCTTCTTCCTCCTCTCCCATTATTTCTCAGCTTTCACCCTCTGAGCTATGAGCTCCCTCGAACCCCTGTTCTAATTCTGAGCTGTCTTTTTCTTCTCTGGAAGGGTCAGGCTGGGGGAGGCGGTCTCCACCATTCTTCCATTCAGTCCCTGACACCAATAATGTTTAGCCCAGGGGTTGGCAAATTAAGGCCTGGGGGCTGGATGCAGCCCCCCAGGCTTCTAAATCCGGCCCGCATATCCTGCCACCTGCTCAATCAGTCCCTGCATGCTGCAGATGCCTCGCCGTGTGAGGACTGACTTCCGTGATGCTGGCACGGCTTCTGGTGCGGGTGGCAATGCTGGTGCGGCTTCGGTTTGGCTGCAGGAAACTCTGGCAGCCAATCCAAAGCATGGATGGCTCTGGGCAGGCGGCAACACTGGTGCAGCTTTGGATTGGCTGCAGGAAGCTCCTGCAGCCAATCTGAAGCCATGGACGGCTCTGGGCAGGTGGCGACGCAGGAGCTTCCTGCAGCCAATCCAAAGCCTCACTGCCTGTGCACTGAGGTAAATCTGGTGCGACCATGGACGGAGAGGGCGGCAGGTCTGAGCCGCGCCATGGGCATCGTGATGGGCATGTCGCGGGGCTTCAGCGCCTGCTGGCCCCGCGTCTGGCGCCCGGCTCATTGCTGCTGCTGGTGGCACGCTGGAACAGCTGGAGGGCGAGCTGCGTGTCACCTGCCCGGCGCTCCGCATGCGCGGCCTGCCCACCAACCTGGCCTTGGATGACGGGCCGCAGCGTGTGGTGCAGGCTGCCTGGGAGCTCCACAGGGATGGGCCGATGGAGTGGCTGCTGCTCCTCAACAACGCCGGTGAGCATGCACTGCCAAGACGTCTTCCTGAGCGCGTGCAGAGTGCATCCCTCCTCCAGGTCTGGAGGTGGCTGCGGGACCGACTTGCAGTTTATTTATATTTTTCAAAATATAGTCCGGCCCCCACAAGGTCTGAGGGACAGTGGGCCGGTCCCCTGGTGAAAAAGTTTGCTGACCCCTGGCTTAGCCCCACATGTAAGAGGAGCCTGCTGGATGATGCCACTGGCCCGTCTAGTCCAGCAACCTGTTCTTACAGTGGCCAACCAGATGCTTGAGGGAAGTCTGCAAGCAGGATCTGACCACACAAGAGTCCTCTCCTGTCCTGTGGTTTCCAGCAACTTGTAATCGAACTGGTACACTGTTATAGGAACTCCCAAGCTTCAAAACCAGATTTAGCTTCTGTCTTGGAGTAGCAACGAGTCCCATCACACATATACTTACCATTTTAATTTCCAGCTACTTCCAAGTGACACCGAAAAGTGACAGGAGTATAATGAAATACTGGTCTCATACAGCTTATATGGCAGTGCATTCGGTCCCTAACTTATCACTGCTTAATTAAAATTTGTTACTGTGACACCAGCCTCATTGTGCATAGCAGTCCCCTGCATACATTATCAGCGATTTGCCACTTTGATAAATAAACATTACATTCACGTGGCAGCTTTTTGCCATCAAGCATGAAGTAAGCCCTGTGATTAAAATAAAAAAAAAGAAGGGGGGGAGAGAACAAGGAAAGACGTGAAAATCTTTTAATTACAAAATTCATTAAAATCAATCTCAAATAATAAAAATAATAATAAAGCTTTGCATATCTAATGCTAAAGCGATAAAAGTGATCAATGAACCACAGCCAAACAAACCCAAACAGATTCATTGGAATTGTCAAGACGGGGGGTTGGAGAGAGAGAGAGCAGTTTAATTGATCAGACTAATATTACACATAGGAGAATATTACACAGAAGGAGAATAAAGGTGCAGAATTAAAAAAGGTCTAGATTAGAAAACTTCTGGGTTCAGAGAAGTTCGTTGGAAATAGAAATGGGAGCATGAATTCCCACTGTTTGCATGTTTGTCTGAGGTCAGCAACAGAAAGCACACAAGTAAGAGCAGTATTTGCGACCTTATTCTTTGGTCCGCAAACATTATGTAAATAATTACAATATTTTCTGCATGTTTTCCTTCCATTTAAATTAATTATGTAATTTATTACATTCGTTTTGGCCATAGTAGATAGTGAAATCAGTGAGTGACGTAGGTTTCAGTGGAAGCCGAACTGCAGCAGAATGGACACAGCGCTGATGTTGGCGATCCCAGGATGGCACATGAATCTCTGCCTCCTTACATCCCTAGTTCAAAGAGATACTTGCATAGTGTAGGAATATATGTTTGGGGACAGTGCACTGATATATGTTTGGGTGGTGCACTGATAAGGCAGCCATGTCTCCTACTTTGCAGAGGACAATCCTCTGCATTTGAAAGTGTCCTCTCTTTGAAGTCCTTCTGGTCCAAATCTGATTCAAAGATAATGAACCCCAAGACGGGGAAGAAGAAAGGAACTGAAGTTGCCCATCAACAGTTGAAATGCATGTTCTTGCAATTATTTCTAAATGTGCATTTGTGCATATAAATTAGCCTGTGCACATTTTTGTCAAATTGGTGTCTTCTTTTGTCCTATTTTCTTGCAATGCCTGAGTGACCAGAGTGAGGCTGAGCATGCGCACTGCCACGATGGGACAGGGCAAGCTGGCACACAATATCCATAACCCTCTTGCATGTGCTTTCAGGAATAAGGCAAACAGCTTATACCACACCACCAGATTGGCTGAGTGAGTGGCAGAAAACCCTGGAGTTACCCACTGTTCATCTAAACAGCCTTGCAGACTGTCCTATTACCCACTTGCTTCCTTGCTTGTGTGTGTAGATTCTGTTCTTTCATCACAGCTGCTTGCAGCTCGCCATCAGTTCGTTTTATGGCTCTCTGCAGCTCAGTTCTTTGTTGATTCCAACATGACAGCAGCTGAAAAGACGGCGTATTCTAAGTAGATAATTAATGTATCACCACAGCTTGTTGCTCTCACCCTCTCATCCTTTCCCCCCCTCCTTTTAGACAAACTGATGATTCATTTTAAATATTTCTGTCTTGCATGCAGGCAATCAGAAAATTAAAATGAAACACAACAGTACGTGTAGAATTCCATTTTGGAAGGTCCTTTGATTTAAATGGGATGGCCTTGGAAACTAAAAAACAGGGTGATGTAAATATGGATCAGAGTGTTGTGCCTCTCTGTATCCTGTGCTTTGTGGTATATACAAACTTAAAGGTCTCTTCCACCAAAGGAGGGTTTGGTCCAGGTGAACCTACCTAACTTACACTTTCCGGAACAAAATGAAAACTGAAACACAGCCATCTTTTTAAAAATTGCACTTCTCCAAATTTTGCAATGCAGTTCACCAGCCAGAAAATGCATACAAAAATACATGCACTCAGATAAAGCGTGCACAAAAATGCATACATAACATGCAAAAGAAGATTGTGTTAGTCTTTTCCTGCAACGTAAGAACGCGGGTGGTGCTGTGGGTTAAACCACAGAGCCTAGGACTTGCCGATCAGAAGGTCGGCGGTTTGAATCCCCGCGACGGGGTGAGCTCCCGTTGCTCGGTCCCTGCTCCTGCCAACCTAGCAGTTCAAAAGCACGTCAAAGTGCAAGTAGATAAATAGGTACCGCTCCGGCAGGAAGGTAAACGGTGTTTCCGTGCGCTGCTCTGGTTCGCCAGAAGCGCCTTAGTCATGCTGGCCACATGACACGGGAGCTGTACGCCGGCTCCCTCAGCCAATAAAGCGAGATGAGCCCCGCAACCCCAGGTCTCCACTAGGTCACGACTGGACCTAATGGTCAGGGGTCCCTTTACCTTTACCTTTAAGAACAGCACATGAGACAAGCCTGCTGGATCAAGCCAATGTCCCATCTAGTCCAGTTTTCTGTTCTCACAATGGCTGACCAAATGCCTGTGGGAAATCTGCAAACAAGACCTGAGCACAAAAGCACTCTGCCCCCTCTTGTCCCCCGGGATCCTGAAGCTGCTGCCTCAATCTGCCTAACTGTAGGGCTGGACCTCTTCTTTTAAATTCGCCACAGAAAGTTCCAGTCTCCCAGGTGGAAAGGACATTCTGTTCTGCCAGTCACTGAGCATCAGGGAGCTGGTTTTCCTTGCCCTGTCAACAAATTCTGATTCTGCCTCTCCACCTTTCATCCCACTCCCTAGCGAAGGGATTATTTGCTGCGGCTGTTGACGAGTCACCTCGTTTCCATCTGTCTTTTCCTCTACCAGCTGAAAAGAAAACCCTCCTTACCTTGTCATCAACTTGTGAGGAGAATGCCTACTGAGGGCTGTGAGTGTCTTAGAAACACCAAGGTCTCATAAATGCAGTAAAAAGCAGGAACCATCAATACCTGTTGGAAACGAAGCCTGGGTCAGCTCAGCAGCCTGAACCAGAGAGACCGCTTTGCAAATATAGCCCACGTCAAAACACTCTACTTTTTTATTATTATTCCCACCCTGAATGTTTAAAGACAACTGAATCTGTGAGCAAGACAGCATTGTTGCTAGACTGCATCAAGAGATTTTGTATGTACCTGTGAGTGTATCCAGGTGTGTCAGGAACACAAGAACAGCCTGCAGGATCAGGCCAATGGTCCATCTAGTCCAGCATCCTGTTCTCACAGAAGCCTACCTGTGGGAAACTGGAGAACAGAACATGGGCATAAGAATACCCTCCTCTCCCATGGTTTGCAGCAGCTGGTATTCGGATGGATTGCTGCCTCGCACTGTAGAAGCAGAGCATAGTCATCATGTCTAATAGCCGTGGACATCCCTCTGTGAATTTGTCCAATCCTCTTTTAAAGCCATCCAAGTTGGTGGCCATCACTGCCTCCTGAGTCAGGGAGTTCCCTAGTTGCCAGTCGGCAGAGGATCCAACTCCCAAGGCAGGTTGCCAGTAATGGATAAGACAAGGAAAGTTCTTACCAACTGCGTTTTATTCAATATTGACACAGAGAGAGGCTTGGAAATGATGCCTCTTGGAATACAGAGGTACCTCGGGTTACAGACGCTTCAGGGTACAGACTCCGCTAACCCAGAAATAGTACCTCAGGTTAAGAACTTTGCTTCAGGATGAGAACAGAAATGTGGCAGCAGCGGCAGCGAGAGACCCCATTAGCTAAAGTGGTACCTCAGGTTAAGAACGGTGTCAGGTTAAGAACGGATCTCCAGGACGAATTAAGTTCTTAACCTGAGGTACCACTGTAATGGCTGTGCTGGGCCTGGGGGTTAACCCAAGCAATGCGGTCCAGGTCTGGTCCCAAATCCAAGGATTCCGTGAGCAGTCAGTCCAACAGGGCCAAGGCAGGACATGAGGCAGGAAACCAGGCTGGGTCAGGCACAGGGTCTCAGGCAGGTTCTAGCAAATATCAATGTTGCTCCCGCAATCTGGGGAGGGGTCTGACAGCCTTTTATCTTTGTCGGGGTAATGGCCAGTCCTGATCCCCCGGTGACTCACCTCCCTGTCTTGCCCAAAGGCGAGCACTCCTCCTGCGAGTACTCAGGTCTCTCCTTCTGTCTGACCTTAGTCTCTGCAGCTTGGGAGATGCCGGTGGGTTGCTAGACCCAGAGGCAGCCTCAGCCTCTCCTGACCCAACTGGTAGTGGAGCAGCTGCAAGTGATGGCCCAGCTGGAGGCAACGAGGTAATCCTCGAGGTAATCTGGAGCCAGGGCAGGCTCAGGCCCCTGACTCGGCCCAGCTGGTGCTTGTTGCAGGGGAACCTGTGCAGACTGGGGCTCTTCAGAATCAGGCCCCAGACTAGGTTCAGATGCCGCCTGAGGCAAAGGATCCAGTGCGGACTGAGACTCTTCTCATTCCGAGTCCGAGCCCGAGTCCCAGGCCATCACAATGGCATTGCCTGAGTGAGTCTCCACCCCCTCCCTCTCTCCCATTACACATCATCAC